TTTTAGGGCATGAATCTGAATTGAACAACCTGATAATGCTCACTCTGGTTATTGTTTCCGTTTTTAAAAGCGCTATATGTTGAGCCACCTCATGTGACATTTGCCATGTGACATTTTTAGCAGCAATCATTGGTCGATTTTCTAATGTTGCCATTCGGGGAGTTGTAATGAGGCTTTTTTTTGGTGACGTGTAAGAGAAATATATATATAGATATAGATTAATTATTTCGAATCAGATGATTAAACTGATAGTTTTAAATTATTGGATTTGTTCTGTTGATCTGATTGATTAATAAATTATATCCAGTAATTTAATGATTGTTTCGATTTACAAATTAATATCCAGTAATTCAATACCCAAACTATAAATATTCTACCGCAACAAGACGGCTAAATTATGGTACATTTCTATTAGTTAAAATAACGGTTAGGTAGAATGTGTGTCTCTCACGTTGAAGTGAACGCACTGAAGGTCAATCGTCTTCTTACAGAGGATGGACAATATATATTTTTTTTAAACTTACAGCTTGTAGAATATCATCTTTTGGATTCTCTTGAATATTTTTCTTCACGGCAAGAGCACATGCAGATATCACATCCAATGTTAATCCTTGCCCTAGCTCATGGATGTTGATTATTTCCTTGTTATTTGCTTTTTTCATTACTAAATCAACAAACAAATCAACCTAGAGGTAAAAAAAAAATATTTATATTTGGTAAACCAAAATAGGAGAAATATTACTTCTGAAATATAGTAGGTTTGCAAACCCTGTATTTTTTATATTGAAACACTTTTTTTTGATGACCGCGAAAATGTAACATTGTCTAAATTTGTTGAGCGCTATGTTGAGCGCTATGTAACATTTCATAAATCCGATAAGCACCAGATTTTAACAGTGTATTAATCTGGTGCTCATCAGACCAAGTAAAATACACATGCTGTTTCTGTTCATCAGCTATCTGCAAGTAAAACTGAAGAGAAATCACACGTGTTAACATTTTCATTCTGAAAAGTAAATTTTAGTTGTTGCAAGATCTTATTGCCAATGCTATCTCTTGTTAACACGCATAGAAAAAAAATTAAATCCTTTATGTTAATGAACTAAAAGCTGGTAAACTTAATGCTTAATTTTACTCTCTATTATAGTGTATTTTTTTAATTGGCTGTTAAAGAAGATTTTTCAGTGGGTTGATAAAATAAGTACCAAACATGCTTGGGAATTGAGTACTGGGGGTTCCTGGTTCGACTGACCACCGAACCTCCAGCACTCCTGAGTCCAAGGTCAAGAGAATTGAGAGGGCACAGTAGGCCTTAGTCCTCTTTCGGCTGTCTCACCACTGAGTTTATTTTTAGTTTTAAAGAAGATTTGACGTCTGTTCTACCAAAGTAAACGATTTTCAACGACTTTGTTGAAAAGGTAAGAAAAAAATGTTTAAAATATAAATAAGAAGGATAAAAAACAAACAAAAACTCGAATAATACAAATCTCTTTAGATAGTTTTGTTTACTGATACAAAGTAAATTCATTTAACAAGTTCAGGTCAGATTTTTATCAACAAATAAATATTTGATATTTCTTTGGACAGCCTATACCATTTATTTAGTCATTTTATTATTTTTAATTATTTATCTAGTTATTAACTTAACTTATTTTTAATAACTCTATGAGTTAAATCTCCTTTAAACTGGGTCAAATGAGTTGCATTTGGTGCAGCATAGTTGCATCCGGTTTTTTGCGCTATTAAACTACGCATTCAACTAAATCGCACAGCAGACAGAAACAGCTGGAATAGTTTAAAAAATTCATTTCCAATGTTTTACGTTCTGAAATTAATTAAACTAAGCAAGCCGTCAAATTTCGATGTGAAAAAGATTGACATAAAATACATTATATTTAACATTATAGAACAATGTTATAATCTCGTAAAAACATGTGTACATGAAGACTAATAAATCTAGAGTCTTAAGGCTGTTTTTCGAAGGATCTGTGGTAGCATGAAATGATGCTTTTTTGTGACTAATATGCTATTTTCATGACTAATGATAGCTTGCAACAGTTAACTCATGACCGTTAGTTAAGTTTAGCCTATCTGGGGTGCGGAGTAGACCTACCTCCTCGCGGTACACCCTGGAAACGTATCCTAATACGGCTAAGTGGTCTACAGCTTTCGGCATGTTCTCCAGCCAATGCTATAGTCGAAAATGACCTCCTAAATATCCCTAATGGTCCACGCCGTGAAGTTGTGGCACAGTTTCGACTTCTAACGGGCCACGACTGTCTGACTGAACACTTGCACCGCATCGGTATTCTAAATTCACCTGACTGTCCGCTCTGCAACTTGGCAGAGCCCATGAATAGGACCCACCTTCGCCGCTGTGCTGCATTGCATTCCGGCTCTGAATCGTCGCTTTATTGGCAAGCCAGAGAACTTTTAGGGCAATGACTTCGGTCATTCTGTTTAGTTTATTTATTCACCTGTTTTGTCTTTGCATTTGTTTTCTGTGTAATTTCTTGTTTATGCCCTGCCATTGGAAATAAAAAGTTTAGCCTATCTTTAGCCAGCATCTTCTTTGCTTATTCTAAAAATGGCGCAAACGTCAATACGAAGAAAAATCACAGTCTTGAGAAAATGGAAAACGCTTGTGGTCTAATTTTTTAATATTTAGAATATTACTCCAATGCTGCATTATCTGGGCATACAAAAATTTGAAAAAAATGGTGATAAGGTATCGTTTATGATAATTTCTATCTAGGTGGAAAAATGTCGCCAAATTGGCGATTTTTTAAAAAGTTGAACAACTTCTAAAATATTTTAGCTATTTGTCCATTCTGAAGCCCAGATATTTTTTTTACAGCAGGATGGCGTACACAGTTTACAATTATAGCCTTGCTTCAAGCGTAAGGGAATAAAACTGTCGCTTTTTTTGTATTTACCTTGGCGAAAGAGCTTCAAAAAACCTTGCTAAAGAATATTTACCTTCTTGGAAACGACATCTGTCATAAATTTGATTTTTCCCGAAGAGAATGCTGGAGTGAGGACATTTCGAACTTCCTTCCATCGTTTGTCTCGAAGTCCAATTAACATTTTAGGAAATGGATCCGTTTGCAACAGAAATGTGGGCTTGTTACTGAATACGCTGAAATCTTTTATTAAAACCTGTAAATAATTTAGATTATTTTTGAAGTATTTCTTATTTCTAAATTTCTATCAAAAGAGAAAAAAAAAGTAGATATGCTAACGTGTAGAAGTTGCCGATCAACAAGACATTTGGTTTACCAGTATAACTAAAATTTCAGGAAATGGTTCTGTTTTTATCAGAGATCTGGGCTTTTTACTAAATACACAGGAATCTTTTATTCAAAACCTGGAAATACAGTCACTGGGCAAATTATTGGACGAAGATTCTATGTAAAATCTTAATTATCAGGTGATACTATACAGCTTTATTGTTCTACGCGACAAAAACCGGTTTGCATTTGTTTACATTTGTACATCAATGGGTTGAATTAGACGATATATAATATAAATTTGACAATTGGATAAAATAGGCGATATATTATATAAAAATACTTTTATATTTAAACATACATGTAATGTTAATTCAAGAGATTTTTATATATACTTCCTATTTTTATTTATTTTTAACGTATTGTAACATAATGTTAACCAATTGATACACGATCCCAATCAAATGCAAACCGGTTTCAGTAGCGTAAAAACAATAAAGCTGTATAATTAAGATAATTAATTGATAGATTGATGATTAAGATTTTACATAGAATCTTATAGTGCGTTTAATAATTTGGCCAGAGATTGTAAGTTAGTTTATATTGAAAGTATTCTTTATTTCTAGATTTTAAACAAAAGCGGAAAAAAGTAGATCTGTTAATGTGTAAAAGTTGTAGATCAACAAGGTATTTGATTGACCAGTACCACTAACATTATAGGAAATGGATCTTCTGTTTTCATCAGAGATCCCGATTTGTTACTGAAAGCGCTGAAATCTTTGATAAAATCATGTCATTTACTTTGTTTCCATTTCAAGTAGTCAATAATTATACCAAAAAAGTAAATTTGTTAATGAGTAAAATTGTCGATCAACAAGGTATTCGACTTACAGCACCATTAACATTTAAAATTATGTTTTCGTTTTCACCAGAAATTTCAGCTTGATACTAGAGTTTCTCTTACTATGTTATCAGTTCCTTTTGTAAAATAGGAGGCTTGTTAGATATAAGAACTCTACTTATTAAATATGCTGATATCTGTGGTAAAAAATCTAATCTTTGATTAAATCTAATTAAAATCTTATCTTTGATTGAAATCTGATTGAAATCTAACCTTTGATTAAAACGCGATTAAAATTTAGTTTTTTTTAAATTAAAATCTAAAGCTACTTCCAATAACGTAGGCATGAATTATTGTTGCTGATTTGGATTAATGATCCAGGTCAGACTACAAGATAATCGCGCCGCTAACAAAACAACTAAATATTGTTTGTTTTCATTGTTATTATTGCTTTTGAAGAAATATTGTTTGATAAGCGAAATAATAATGGTAAAAACACTTCATTTATGTATTTTAAGGTCTCAGTGTACTACTTCAGGGATTTATAAATTCAAGAATTTTTAAATTCAAGGATTTATAAATTCAAGAATTCTAGGACTGAAAATTTTTTGTTTAATTAAAAAAAAATACTTACTTTCTTTAACATTTCCAAGTCCTTAATTACAACATAAATATCTTCTCCCATGAAATATCCAAACACGTCTCCATATTTTTTGAGCCAATCTTCTATGATATCATTTGGATTGGGTTCCTTCTGTAACTGGTACATATTCCCAGCTATGAAATCAGGTTTTGGTCCTGGTATTCCATATTTTTTTAAGCTTCGATGAATATTACGTCGACAGATGATCCATCGAGTTAAAATAATAGTAAAGCAAGCTAGGATAACTCCGAAAAACCCCAAGGCTACCTCCATGGCGAATCTGTAATAGACTTCTTTAATTAAATTAGCGTAATCTACTTTTTCAAAACACAATAAAATAGCTTTAGTCTAAAAGTTTCTTCTTAGTTCAAATTTGGCTTGATATTTGATCGGATTTTTTTTTCTGAGTCGGGATAATTACAAGTCCTCAATTTGGACATTGCAACCTACAGCTCCGGCAACGATGCAATCATTTAGTTTTTACATTGTGCGATTAGTAATGTCTAGTTTAAGGAGAAAAAAATATTTGATATGCTTTTATAGTATTCATAGTTTCATACTTTTACAGTATTCATACTTTTTAAATATATTTCTAAAATACTTGTCGAAAATGAAGTGAAAGAAAAAACAAGGCACATCGCAAATTAATATTTAAACAAAGAAAATAAAACGTTATCAAAATCTAGGAAATCTCTACAGTTGAAGGCGGAACTATATGCATCAAAATCTGTTTAAATGCCCGGGGAACCTGATTGGATTTGATTGGTTATTATTCGAAGCACATTCAGGTTTCACTGAACAATTTAAGCGTTTTGATATGTTCATCCTGCTTACCTCACAAGTAGTTCCACAGATTTTGTAAGCTCTTTTGTGTCTTTCTTGTTTAAGTGTTAACTGGCAAACTCTAAAGTATGCTCTTTTTTCGTAAAGAACACCCTAAATACTTATTTTTGGAATCTCTATCAAGAATGAAAACCCAAAAGTATTCATATTGGGGGTCTTGATTTGTCAGGTCAAAACCTGACATATCATGTTGCAGGAAGTTGGATGTAATAAACAGCAAAACAGGTTTGATTGCGGGAGTAAACAGAGAGGAGTTGAAAGACGATTATTAGAAAGTTCTTCAAATTTCAGCCTGCCTAATAATCACTGAAGAACTAGAGAGGATGTCTCCCCGAGTCATCACTGAGGATGCTTAAGAAACCAGAGAGGATTTGAATGATGATTATTTATTAATAACAACTGCAAGTTTCGCAGAGTAATCAAACAGTTTTTAGGTTCTTCATCGTCCGAGGTAATCACAAATTATTCCACAGATTTCGAGTGTGCTTTTGCTTTTTTCTCGTTCTGAATTAGTAAACCCTCTTGTGAAAACTTTTTTAAATTCAATTTTGTCATAGAATTGAGAAGTAGAGTGTACCGTAATATTTATTTTATAGAAACCGAGGAAGAAAACAAAAAAAAATTATGCACTTTGGGAACAGGCAATTATTTATAAAGCAATATTTCATTACACAACCTATTATTACAATGAAAATATTGTACACAATCTAGGTAAAAACAAAACCTCTGTCGAAATCTGACAGTAAAGGAAGACGTTAGTAATAAACGACAATACAGTCTTGAGTATGAAGAAGTGGAAAGTGGGAAGAAGTGGAAAGAGGTTGAAAGATGATAATCAGAAACACCTTTAAGTTTTAACCTAAAACAAAGAAAGACATGTTTTGATGTTTATTATATTTGCCGTCCTCTACTGCAATTGGTCAGACTTCGATACCATTTTTGTTTCTTTTTTCGTTAAATATTAAATTACGACCTCCAATGTGTTTGCGCTTTTGTTGGTAAGAGTTCGAAAAATATGTAATGAGTGGTTTTTGCGATACACCTTGTATATGGGTGATTCTCACGAAATATGACAATTCACTGTCCCTTGCTCCAAGATCTAATACTATAATAGATACTAAAAGAACTCTTTTTTAAAGAAATTAATAAATTGCATTGCTGTTAGCATTTTAAAATGACTTTGCACTAGCATTGACTGTTTTGTATAGTTAAAAAATTTAATTGAACTTCAAAATGTCATTTTCCTGGCATGTCCCAAACAATGTTTCCAATAATAACTAGCTTCAAAACTTCCCATGCATTTTTCAAAATCTAATTTTTTCTATCCTATCCTATGTAAGCACTTCTAGAATATACGCAGAGGGTATTATTTACAAAAACTTAGTTTAAAATAATTTTTTCTGTCAATATTTTGTTTATCCCAAGAAAATCTGTCGTGGCTACTTTTATTTAGTGGTTTATAACCAAAATAGATAGAACCAGCAAAGAATATCTTATATTAATAGATTGATTAGATACCCTCTTATATGAACATGTCTTATAGCATGAATAAAGAACCAATTTTCTGGTTCAAAATCTATTTCAAAAAATTTTTCAAGATGAGTAGATTTTTGTGTTGTCATTTTCCTGGCTTCTTGAAATCATTAATAACATGAACTATATAGATTTATCTGAGTTATTTTAAGAAATCCTGTTTTTTTTTGTAGAATGTAAACATCTTAGGTCAAAATATTAAATTAAAGTAAAGTTATATGCTATAAAATGGCGAATTTGTCATTATCCTGGCTGTCATTTTCCTGGCTTATGAATTCCAGGAAATTGAAGTGTTACCAGAAAATTTTTTAAGGTGCTAATACTGTAAAGGGGAAAAGCAAATATTAACCTAATACCAAGTTTATGTATGATTGTAATATGGTTGGATGTAATCAAAGTTATTTATTTATTTAATGATTGATTATTATATACAATTTTATTCTGTACGTATCAGCAACAAAAAAGAATTTGATTCTTTCTACAGTGGATAAAAGAATTAATTTAAGCAATTTGTGGTCCATCTAACATAAAGGCTTAAGTTGAGTTACTTACTACTAACTTAAAATGACTGCTTTTTAAACTTCTAAGCTAATATGTCACTTCCCTGGCATTCAAGATTTGGGGAATTTCTGTTTTATTTTTGTTCTCGAGCAAATGTCAATAAACTACATTGCTGTCTGTAAGATATTAATAAATGTAACTAAAGAAGTATACAAAAATTTTTTTAGATTATTTTGAAGATTTTAAATTCGAAGAAATTTCTTGACCCGAATTGTCATGTTTAAAAATAATCACCCATATATTCTGGGTGGGGATCATAGAACACCCTATGCAAGAATAAGCCTCGTAAATTTTAACAGCAGATTAAAATGCTTTGATATTTGTTACAGGGAATAAAAATAAATCAAGGAGAATAAACGGTATATGATAAGAAAAGATTCATATTACTGCGAGACGTATGTTAGGTTAGTGAGGAAGTTATTTCTATTTCCTAATCTCAATGTCATTGGTGCGTCTCACTCTTAAAAACACTAACATAAAAACTACATAGTTACATTAAATGAATAATTGAATAATTACAATAATGAATAATTACAATAAATGAATAAAATTTGAAAAAAATTAAAATAAATGAAAATGAGTAAAAACAAATAAATAAAAATAAATAAATACAAATAAATAATTAATAAAAAAAATAAATAATTAGAATAAGTAATAAATAAATGAATAAATAAAAAAATAAAAAAATAGATACAAGTAAGGGAAAAATAAATAAAAATAAATAAATACAAATAAATAAATAATAAATCAAAATAAATAACTAAATTGACATTTGAAATTTCAATAATATATTTTTTGCATGAAACTAAATAAATCTGAAAAAATATACAGAATATAATTTTATTAAAACAGTTCTTCCAACCTATTATTTATATGAAATATAATTTACATGTTACATTAAAATATATTTATATACTATTTAGAGAAAATATAATTTACATATTACATTAAAATAGATTTATATATTAATTAGAGGAAATATAATCTTATACTCACATAAATCAACTTTAGTATGTCGGTATTGCCTTATAGGTTTATCAAGTACTTGCCTTCATATTTTCCTATTTTTACATCACGAATTTATCTGCTTGCAAAACAAATATGAGATAAATACGCGCAGATAATAGGTTTAATGTCGTTAAATTATTTAAGAGGTTATCAAAAAATCCAGCAGAAATTATGCAACTCGTCTTTGAAATTTTTGAGGTCTCATCATAATAATTTCGAATAAATGCTTATTCATTAGCTAGAGTTAATAACTATTAATCATAAATTCATATTAATATTTATTAATCATATCAATCACTGATTAAAGCTTGTGACAAATTGTCAGATAAAGACAATTACTTACGCAATACCGTAATTTTAAAAAAAAAAACTACAATCAGCAACAACAAAAAACAAACAAACCTAGATAAGCTTTTATATAATGATTAGATTTTCATGCACTGAATCCAACTAGAACACAGCCAACCAAAGTCACCCTGTTGGTTAGTGGGTTTGGTATTCATCTGCCACTGCTTTGGTCGAGGTTCGATTCCCCATTCTAAATGCTGGAAGTGTAATCGGATAACACTTTCTCTGATAGTGTCTTAGTAGTTTGGAATCTACTCTAATGTAATGTCCAGGGTGATTTCAAAGCCGGAAAATTTCAAGCATAGTCGGACAGACGAGGAACGTTGTTCAGGTGACTAATACCACATAAAAGTGGTAATGTAGTATGCACATGCGCTAGTTTCTTTTTAACGATTGATGAGGATGATTCTTCCAAATGATTCCGTAAGAAAGGATTCCAAAATGACGATTCTTCGAATCCTCATTTTGGAATCCTTCAGTTGAATAGTATTTAACCGCTTCCCTGATTATTCCGAGTTAACTCGGGTATGATTCGTTGTTGTAGTTCATTTACGTCGCACTAGAGCTGCACAATGGGCTATTGGCGACGGTCTGAAAAACATCCGTGAGGATGATCCGAAGACATGCCATCACAATTTTGATCCTTTGCAGAGGGGATGGCACCTTCGCTTCGGTAGTCCGACGACCTGCACGTGAACTCGAGCACTTTACGATAGAACAGTGTAACGAGGACCAATACCACGCAACTTCAGTCCCTACGCAGACTAATCAAAGTGTTCACCCAACCGCTTACTGACCGCAGCCAGTGATGCTTGATTTCCGTGTTCTAATGGGAATCGTGTCTTTAGGATCAGTCCACTGCGGGACTGATTGTCTATCTAAAAGTATAACTGGACTTACCTTTATTGTTTTTAATTGATAATTTTTGAGAAAAGATATAAGAAATGTAAGAAATTCGATTGGAGTAACTTTCAGGACAGTTTCATGATACATAAGTATAAATCTAATTATTTTTTGTCTAGTTCTTATTATTGAGTCTGTTTTATGACCAAAATGTGAAGAAACATAAAATATGTAAAAAAATCCTAAAAATTAAAATGCATAATTTTTTATGCAATAATTTAAAATATCTAAGAAAGTCAATTAAGTTTAATTAATACATTTTTTTTAAATAGTTTTTTTTTTTGTATTTATTAGTTTATTTACTTCTCAGATACATATTTCTAAGATAAATTAGTTTCTCTGTCATTATTTAAAGTTCGGATTTCAAGAGGGTATGCTCTGCATATTTATTCATAGCTAGGGTTTTATCACATTGACTCACTGCCGCCCGCCAACTCCTGGCTCCCTAATGCATTTTCGTTATCAACGAGATTGACGGTAATTGAAACATTTGCCATTTTAAACTCAGGTAAATTTCTTCCAGAAGCATACTATTCTGAATTTTAAAAAAATGAAGCAATGTTTTGAGTCTTGAAGCTTTTAAACAATAGTTTTATTATTTTTCTTGTGGAAAAAAACTTTGAAAAACAATGCTAATTAAAGTTTTAAGAATGCAGCTGTTGCAAAAATAAAAGTTTTATTTGCGATTAATGAACTTAACATGAGAGGTTTTTAGAATACTTCTTTTGATTTTAATTATATTAAGTGTTACAATTTCAAGAGATGAGCTGACTTGTTCCTAATTTTTGTAAAATCATTGATAAAATATATAAAAAAATTTAGCATGATATATTTAAAAAAAAAAAACGCTGATTGAATTTTTTTTATTGGCTTAGTAAGCCCTTTTTAAATGTAGTTTTTTTTTAAAATAATGTGGAACACTAATATAAATGGTGTTTCATAATCACCACGAATAAACTATATTTTTTTAGAAACTTGTGAACTACTAATTCACAAAAATACGTACTTATAGGGCTTCGTAAACTAATATTTAAAGAGTATAAATGAAGTTGTTATCTAAATATGACGTTTGATAAATATCAGAAAATGTTGCGTTAAAAACCACACCCTCTGACAAAGAAAGTAAAGCACATTCATTTAACTTTCTTTTAAAAAAAATAATAATACTTTCTCAAATAAAATTTATTATTTTTCAAACTTCACTTTAAATACCATTTTATTTTCCATAATATTTTCGAAAACACTTTCAACCTCCTCTATGAAGAAAAGGTTTTGACGACAATAAATCTATTTTTGTTGTGATTGGTCTTCATAGTCATTCGTCAAAGTTTTATGAGGAATGAGGAAATGATATTTTCTCATATTTATATCAGTTTGCGTAAGTTCTTATGACGTTACTTCAAGCAATGATTCTAAATTGGTAGGTGAAAACAGAACAAAATCGGGAAAAATCGTTCCAAAAAACAAGAATCGTAAGTCTTGCAATCGTGTATTTTATATCTGTTGTAACTCTTTCACTAAATAATGACTCTTGCGTCAAAATTTTACAACACTTAAACTCCCTAGAAAAACAAATAATATAAAAATTTCATTCAATTAAGTTTGAGAATAGCTTGTAGCCATATGTTTTTTAATTTCATCGCTTTTTAAAATAAGCATTTCAGTTTTTAATTTCTTGGATCAGCTTTCAGCCAAAACCCATTCTTTGGCGACGTAACCACAGTAATACAATGCAAAGAGAGGGGATTTTCAGTTTTCTCACAGACTTGCAACTTCACATTTTTCAAGAGTTTGAAAATCGCCATTTTTGCTTCCAGCTGAGCAAAACGAGCACCAACGCAATTTCTGGGGCCAGTTCCGAATGTTTGGAAGGCCATGCTTTTTATTGATCCTTTGTTCTCCATAGAAAAGCGATCTGTATCAAATTTGTAAGGATCGGGCCAAATTTCTGGATCATGTTGGATGTCCCATACTGGAACTAAAATGTTCGATCTTTTTGGAATCGTGTAGGATCCTGTGTCGTAATCTCGATCGCAAACTCTGGTTGTAAGACCTGTTAAAGGTGGGTACATTCGAAGAGATTCATTGAGTACTTGGTCCAAGTACTGGAGTCCTGTAAAATGAAATAAAATCGTCACTCACATTTTAAAATTAAAAAAAAAAAGCAAAGGCTCGAGACGCGATTTTTTTTTGTTATCAGTAACAGTATTTTAGGTCGAAATAGTGGGGCCAAAGTATCAGTATAGAGTAGAGTATCAGTATAAGCCTGGTATAAGCCTGGTAGAGTATCAGTGTAAACTTGAGTGTAATACTTTTTTTCGCAGACAAAAGGAATTTTATTTTACATAGATAAAGCTTACTTCAATTGAAAAACGTGTCAGATCTTGTTAAAAAAAATAATTTTTACAAGAATTGTAAAAATATTGTATCAGGTAAGGTAATTATGATAATTATTTTGTTTTATAACTGGAAATTTTATGACAGGATTCGAACCTGGATCACTTATTGGGAGGCGAATACTTTATCCTTACAGCTATAGCGGCTCGAGGTAAGGTAATTAAAAACAAATGTCTATGGGAAAAATAACCATGTAAAATCTGGATAAAAAAAAAGGAAGTTAAGTACTCTCAGACAAGATTAATTTTGACCAAAATGGAGATAGAGATCGATTCCACAATTTCGATGCCAACGGCATGATCTAAATAAGTACTATAAGAAGAATTGTTTTATTCTGAGAAACATATAAGTCTAACAGATAATTTTTTGTTCTCATATTTATATATTTTACGTGTCAACATAGCTGTAAAATTTCCAAAATATATTTTTTCGTGATTTTTTATATTTCGTTAATATGTTTATGTGAGAATATTGTTCCAAAAGTAATAGTTGAGCACAGCGCTTTTGCATTGACGAATGACAAAATGTATTTGATAAAAGCTTTCATGTTATTCTTAATTAGCGCGTTTTCTCAAAACATAGTTAACATAAATGTACAGTGCGCAAAGTTCAGAAACCACCACCAATAATAAACTTCTGATTTAATGATCAGATTTTCCCATTCTAGGACTCAAACTTAATGGTTCATGGGGTTTACATCAAATATGCTAATAAGGTAAGAATTCCTTACCCTCATTTTGGATTCCTTACTCTCAAAATTTAGTGGGTAGCCGCATTTAGGAAAATATGGTCCCGATAATTTGATCAGGAGTGCGGTTTAAAGTTTGGGCCTCTTATCGTTAATTTTTGCTTATTTCACTTTATCTCGATAACTTAGGGAATAGAAAATATTTTGCACACAATTATGAAATTCGTTTATCCAAAGATAATTAATTACACGCAAAAAAATTTTTTTTTTCATAATTATATACATATTTTTCAATATTAGTCTAAAAATTTTGAATTGAATGAAATACAATTTTTAACATCATACTAATGAATGCAATTTTAAATGACAGTATACAAAATTTGAGCAAAATTGATTGAATAGTTTCTGAGAAATCAAATTTCAAAATACATTACTTTCTTAAAATTTGGCATTTTAAGTACACAATATTTATTTTAAATTTAGTAATTTTCAAGTTCATTACTTCTCTATTACTTTTCGTTTCTTTTACTAGTCATTATTTAAAATTTTATGTTGACCCCCATTCGCCGTTTTTCCGTATCTGTCTTTCACAATGAATAATACCATGGGACACGATCAAACAAGGTTATACTCTTTTTATAAAAATTATTCAGCAATATTATTTAAAAAACAAGAGCACCTTGTACAGTGGAGTAATCTGAATCCTTTTCCTGTTGAATTTCTTCGTAAAGACGATTTTGTACTTCGGGATGTGTTGCTAACAGATGACATGTGAACGCCAAAGCAGTAGACGTTGTTTCATAACCTGCTATGAATACTACGAACGCTTGGGCCACAACCTCCTCTTCCGTTAGCTTTGTTCCACTTCCAGCTATAAATTGGATCAATAATTATTATAAATTAATTCAACTAAAGTTGTACATCAATTTCCAAATTATTTATATATTGTGTTTTTTGTGTGGAAAGACCAGATTTTCTGTAAGTGATGTAATGAATCGTATTTGATTCACAGAACTTGCTTACAGATCTTGACAGAATTCATCTTGTAGAAATCTGGCAGAATTTGCATACAATCTATCAGAATGATTGTAAGCAAATAGAATGGGTATATGTATCCTGAGAAACATAAATTAGAGAAATATTGTTTCCTAATCGGGCAATTTAACGAGAGCGATTGCTCCAAACAGTTCAAAAACAGTGAAGCAGAAGAATGTTCATGTTTCAAAAGATCAAGCTTGCCAAAAGTTGTCAGAGTTTGTTTAGGATGTTCGATTCTTCATTACCATGCTCTTTTGACATCATGTTCTCAATTTTAGTAATGTAGAAAATTAGAAACTTTTCGGTTAAGACAAAATTTCACGATGTCAAAAAGTTTTTAATTGAAAACTATTGAGAATATGGAAATTTCAAGCTGCCTAAAAAAGGGAGAAAGGTTGTTATTATAAATCAATGATACAGTAATTTATTACGTATAATCAAAATTTAAGTGTTTTACATAACAATTTTCTTTCAAAATTGCAAACAAGCTTAAGGAACAATTCAATGTCCTGATTTTAAGAAATCTTAAGCGAAATGCATTAAAATGTTATTCCTGCAAATAAAATGTAAGCTTTTTTTAAATAATCATAAATTGCAAAGTCTAAAAAAATCGTCTCTACAAATTTATTTCAAATGTATCTTGAGTTAATACTAACGAATCAAAATTAAGTCAATATATAGTTTAAATGTGTAATTTTCTGTTCCAAAAGCCAATTCAAAACATAGTTTAAAAAAATAAAGATCAAACCTTTACGATATGATAAGATCACAGTTTGCTGAATAAGGACTAATTTACAGAATCACAAACATATTTAAAATATAGATGCTTTACGGTGCAGCAAGGTATGTCTTCATGGTCAGGTATAATATGTTGCTTTAGAAGGAGCTATGTTCCCCAATGTGGGATATTGAAGCAGTGTTTTCTCAAGAAAAATAATTGACATTTAATATCTTTAGCCGAGTTTCCTCCTTGTATTTATGAAAGTAATATCCGTTTATCATATCTAAAAATAGAAATTTGCATTGATTAAATTATACACTATAGATAAATCGTATTTACTTAAAGGATGACCTTCGAGGAGAAATATGATAATTTTCATATCTTGTTAATGATTATGCAAAAAAGTAGCAGTTTATTTCGATGAAGAATGAAATAAAGATTAAAAAAAAAATAGACCTCCTCAAATCTGTTTACCTCGTAGTTTCTTTATATCGTTAGAAACGCGTCTAATCGTAAGTGATTGCGCAGCCACTGGTTTAAAAATTGATCTTAACGTTACATTTTGATTTGCGATGAAAAAGATTTAGAAACATGAAATTATGAAGGTATGTTGAAAACTGTACAGAATATAAGTTGAAAATTCAAATATTAGCTTGAGAAATATTAACTGTTAAATTTGTAGTAAAAAATAACATGCGGGTCACTATGCACGCACCCCGTATAGAGACCGTTTCTCATTTGAACTATTTTCCTGATATAAGTTTCGTTAACGAATAAAATTATCCCCATTAATTATTTTTTTATACAGTCTCACAATTTGTTTTCTTAACTGTAATTTTTTTTTTCAAATACATATTTTTCTAATAATGGTAATCATTTATTTAATATATTTATTAAAAAATATTCTTACATAACAATTATATATTTAATTAAAAAAAATTTCCTTGGTTTTACAAAATATCGATTTTTAAGTGGAAAAAATCAATGACTAATAAGAAGCAATCACGGGGTTTGGTAAGCAGAGCGAGCAGGGAATGCTCGCAATGTTGTATAGGCAATGTTAGAATCTTAATCTACTTTGTGTGCAAAAGTGTCTTTTTTTTAAAAATTAAAAAATAAATAAAAAAGAGAGTGAGAGATTTGATGTTGTCAGATATAAATTTTAGCATTTATCGAGTAATTTTTAAAAATATGAAATTAAATACTCAAGAGAGATGAAAGCCTTTCCAATATGAATTGAGGTTATCATTATATATTGTTAACACGTAAAATTACTTCTCATTTATTAATTTCTATTATGTAATTCAGATACAGTTGACTACTTTTCAAATCCAAGTAATCGTCGATTTTGTTAAGATTAACATCTTAAGAAGAAGTGCTTTTGTAAAATGATGATACTAATAATATATTTTATAAACAAAATATTTATTTTGTTTTATTCATGATTTATTTTTGAAAAATATCTATTTTCAAAGGGGGGGGGGAATAGAGGAATGAAGGGAATTACTGGGTATGGTGAGTGAAGCAAACTGAGGATGGAGCCTCTTAGTTTTTATAAGAAAATAAAAAAATAAGAAAAGAAATTCAAAGCTTACAGCAGTATAATTTTGCTATAATTTGAGACATGTAGGCTCAGGGGATTCGCCTTCCAACGAAATGAGCCGAGATACGAATTCCGCATCCGGTTTGTACCGACCACAGTGCTGACGAAAAATATCCTCAGGGGTAGAAGCATCATAGGTTATACTCCCCTTGCCGTTAGGCTAACCGTGAAAGGTTTTCGTGGTTTTCCTCTCCGTATAACGCAAATGTGGATTAGTTTCGTCAAAAAGTTCTCCAAGAAGGTAAAATTTCCCCTAATACTTGATCCAGGAGTTCCCTTGTCTTCTAGATTGGGTTTAAAATTACAAAGCTACGAAATTGAACATTAGTAGTCGTGAACCCAAAAATTTAGATCGGCGGTTCAACGATGGTTATAAAATAATTATATTGCTACAAAAAAATAGGTGGGTGTTTCAAGTTTTTTTCCATTACTGTACATGCCATCAGATCTTTAATCAACCAATAATTAAAAATATAGAAAAACATTTAAAACATATAAATTTAAAAGCAAAAATATTTTTACTTACTTCATTCCATAAGGCTGACTTTTTAAAGGAAAGATTTTTTTCTCCAACTTACTATACGATATCAACCAATATAACTTGCTTTATTAAAACACATCTCAATAGTGTGGTTAAATTTAATCATCTCTTAACACAGGATGCGCCAATTTCGAATCTGTTTGTTAAGGCCGCTACTTGTAATAATATTAATAATTTTTCACTCTCCGTTCTAGTTTAAAGTGCAAATTTTTTTCTTCGTGTGTATTCGATATTTTTTCTTTCTTTTATTTATCTTTCTGTTACTATTTTCCATTCTAGTTTAAAGTGCACATTCTGTTCCATTTCCGCGAGTGATAGTTGGATACTTTTTTTTTCTTTATTTATTTTTGACTTTCATAATACGATGTCCGCCATTTATTAAAATCACGTCCGTTCTGAGAACATTTGATTTTGAAAAATGGCTGATTTTTTAATCGGGAATGTCTACACTTCGAAAAAAATTTAAAAGTAAAAATTTCCAAATAAATTTAAAACTAAATTATTACTACATTGATATTTTATTTTTAGTGAATCTACATTTGGCATTTTAATTAAATATGAGTGCATTTTTTTATATTTACTGAAGAGTTTTAAAAATATTTGTATATTTGTTTGATAAACAAAAAAGAAAAAAAAATTAAAGATTTGACATGGTTTGACAGTTAATAAATTTTTTAATAATTTTCAATGTTAAATAATTTTTTTTGTAATTTTCAATGTTTCTTTTTCATTTTCAAATATAAAGTATTTTTGTGACATCTATTGAAGATAAATTTACTCCTTTCAATGAGTGATGATTATTGACTTTGAATGATGATAGGCATAGATGATAGATAATATAGACATTTTTTATTTGGATTTCCTTTATATTCTCTGTTTTATGCCATTTTATATCCCGACCTTTAATTTACCTAAGAAGTATAACCCTAACCTATAACTTTGTTTTGTTCTTTTGTTTGTGGGTGCAAAATGATATTTTTTATTTACATCCATTCAAAACATAGGACACTAGATAGAAAAAGCAGAGTTTTAAAAACATATGCTATAAAAATTTGATTCTACGTAGCGGTGATTCTGATTTTATAAAAGGATAGTTTTAGCATGCTTCGATATTGTATTGATTTCGTCCTTGAAGACATGATTTTCAAAAGTGGTGGGTGGCAAACATCTTATGAGGCCACTTAGCCTCTGGCAGCTTCGGACATAATATTTCAGCCGAGAGGGCTAATTTGACAATCTCATGAGCAGCTGAGAGCAGATTCGAATCTCAGCTTTGACACCACAATGTTTCTCTTTCTTCCATCAAGACATCCGGTGTACTGCACTTCTCAACTGGTGACCCTGGACTATTGTTCTCATTCTCTCAACTCTCACGATAGATGGCTTTATTAGATAAACTAAATAAATCACATTCCATAGTTCATTTACATAATATAACTTAACTCCAATTTCTATTACCTAATGAAAAGGCTAATTTCAATGTTTAGTTAAATTTCCTTTTTACGGTTATGGTACCATTCTAGTAAAAATGCTTACAAAACTGTATAATTTTGTATTCATGGTTTTTTCAAAAGGTTTACAAACCGAAAAGAAATGTATCTAACCATGAACTTAACAGTTAAGTGAATGGATAGACTGCAGCCGGGCGAACAAAAGCTCTGTAAAAATATTTCTTGCTCAACTAATTCTTCATTCAATATTTTACCTTTTTTCATAGCATTCTAAAACACTACATACATTTTTTTTGCATAGTTATATACTTTTATGATCTGTATATATATTTATAACTTTAATAATGTGTAATTTATAATAATAATGCTGATAATAACTTTAAGCTAATTTTAAATAAAATTTTGTTATTCACTTTTATTTTTATAAAATTCTTTAATATATTTATTACCTCTCAAAAAGTGCATGGATTTGTTACTTAAGGAATTTTCATGAGGGGAGGAAGGAATTTTTATGACGGGAGGAAGGAATTTTTATGAGGGGAGGAAAAGGAATTTTATGAGGGCAGGAAGGAATTTTTATAAGGGGAGGAAGGAATTTTTATGAGGTAAGGGAAGGAATTTTTATATTTTTTTATGAGGGATTTCTCACTCAAGGAATTTTAATGAGGGGAGGAAGGAATTTGTATGAGGGGAGGATGGAATTTATATGAGCAGAGAAAGGAATTTTTATGTCAAAATTCAATCTTGCGAGCCTTGAAGAATTTTTCACACAGTCTGAATTCGAATAGAAAAAAAAAATTAACTATATTAACTTTTTGAATAGGAAAACCTCAATACCCAAATCAAGACTACCCAACCAATTTCGTCATAAGAGCTACTTTTTTGACAAAAGAATTTGAAGAAAAAAGATGCTTATTTCAATTTGTTGTTCTACTTGAATGTTTTCAAAGCGCAATTTAATACATTTTTCGATTTAGTTTTTAAATTATAAAAGCTGTCATGACAAGAGTAGCTTGTATATCAAAAATATTTTTAAATATTGCTTTAATCTAGACAAATCACTAACGGATTTATAATATTTTTGCACGTGGTATAATCATCACACTAATATATCACACTAAATGCATTTTCATCAAAAAAATCTTTTTTATATATATATATATATATATATATATATATTAGGCATTCCAACGAGTTTAAGCGTTTTTTACTATATATATATATATCTGCA